CTGAAAAAAGGTCCATGATGTAAGAAGGTCTGTGATGTCTCATGAGTAACAATTATATTCTGAATGGCATTGGTGCAAGCAGGGAGCAGCAGATTGGAGTGTAGGGCCTGCTGAGTGGGTCCCTGTGCCGAGAATCAAGATTGATCCAGTGGCCAGAGGGTGGTCACCTGTCTCTGCCCTTTAGAATATTCCAGGACAGTAAAGGCTGGCAGAAGGATCCTGGTTGCTGGAGGCTCCAAGAAGAAAAGTATGAGTGACTGTGATCTTTCCTTTTCTTTGGGTATCTCATCATTTTTAGTTGAAAGTCAGATATCTTGTAGAGTCAGATATCACAGTAGAGACTGAGGTATTTGTTTGGAAATGGGCACGCCTCTTCTTTTGGGGGTCAGTCAGTCAGGAATTGAGTGGTTTGGATGATGGTGTTGTTATGATTAGCCTCAGTATACATGGGCTTCAGATTCCTCTGGCATTACCTGTGCTGGTCTTCCCCACTGCAGCTCTTCCCTCTGCACCCGCTTCTCAGAGACGACCTCCCTCCTTGCTCTCCACCTCCCCCAGCATAGATTGCTGTAACTTGTTACTCTGCACTGGCTAGACTGGTGGCATGGTGGCAGGGCTTCTCTGTTGTCCTGGTTTATCCTTAGTCTGGGTGGGTGCTGTGTCCACGTGGGTCTTGGGAGTAGGACCTTTTCAGTGATCTTGCCTCACACCCAGCACTAGGGGAGCTCTGATGATCTGGCCCCAGGATGGTTTCCTCTCACCGCCCCCAGGGGTAAAGAGTTTTTTTCTCCTGTCCCCTTCCTTGAGTGTAACAGGGTTTGCTGCCCTTCCCAGGTGCTTAAGGCTTATTCTGTAGGAAAGTTAGGGGAGAAGAATCCAGGAGGGGCTTGGTGTCTTTCTCAGAGTAACTGCTGTACTTTCCCCCAGGCCTGTCCTGCCCCCAGTCTGTCTCCATGAGCACCTAGTGAGGTCCACAGAGAGGTGAATAGATGCAACTGCTGCCAGAGTTTCTGTGCTCTCACACTAGTTCACACGGCCTTTAACAGTTCATTAAAATGTTAGCTGAATTCTTCTTCCTGGCTTATATGGCACCTGCACCTGTTCAGGCAGACAAGTGCTCACATCTCGTCTCCCTGGAGGTGCCTGTCTTTCCTCCTTGCTGCTGTCAGGCTGGCTGGTTGTCCTGTAGCCTCAGCGTTCTGCTGGGTTCCAGAAAGGTTATGTTTGTGTATATTATCTTCTTCTTTTCTTGTTCTGTGTGGGATCCATGCTCTTTCCAACTTTCTCCATCCTAAGCAGAAGCTGAAGCCTCCTTGAAATTGTACTTCCATTCTACTTTCCTCCTCCCAGAATTTTACCCTAAGGCAATATATTTATTCATAGTATACAAGTTATCATAAGGTAATATATTTTTTATTGTTAATATACAATTGTTTAAAACAATATAAATATATTCCAGATTTTTTATATACAGTTGTCCATTGGTACCTGTGAGGCACTGGTTTCAGGACCCCTGGAGGATACTAAAATCTTCAGATGCTCAAGTCTCTAATATAAAATGGCATAGTAGGTTGGCCAGTTAGCTCAGCTGGTTAGAACATGGTGTTGTAACACCAAGTTCAAGGGTTTGGATCCTCATAGCAACCAGCTGGCAAGAAAAAAGGTGTAGTACAGTATTTGTATATAACCTATGCACATCCTCTCATAGACTTTAAATAACCTCTAGGTTACCTACAATACCTAATACAATGCAAATACTATGTAAATAGTCATTATACTGTATTTTTACTCGTATTATTTTTATTGTTGTACTGTTATTTTTATTGCTTTTTTAAAAAAATATGTTTGATCTGCAGTTGGTTGAATCCACAGAGGCAGAAACCATGGATACAGAGGACCAACTAAACTTATTAAATATAAAAAGGAAATGTAATTGGAAATACATTCCCTTAATAAGCTGGATGCTGGATTATACTACCTTGTTTAAAGGAGGCTTCCTAATACCAGTATTTTTAATTGTCCTTTAGTTTGAAGTCTTGGTGGTTATTCTATCCCAGGATAATGAACCAAGAAAGATTCAGGCTGGGCAAGAATAGGACTTTTTTAAACAATTAATTATGTTTTTAAAATCAAGAATTGGCCTTTGTTTCATAAAGTGGAAGGGAAGGTGGGAGAGGGGAACTCGCGTGGAGCCTTATTCTCAGTGCTTTCTCAGGCAGGTGAAGTTTAGAGAAAGTGCATTGGAAGTGGTGGATCTTAAACTTGGTTCCATTAAAAGTAGCTGTGCCCTTGACCCCTGGGGAAATCTTCATGCAACCCCAGTGCATGTAGAGTTTAAACATCATTCAGTCCCATCTTCTCTGAGTGTCCTTCCATCCTATCGTCCACTTCTGCTGCTTGCAAGTTCTGAATGTGGAACACGGAGCCAAGCTTCGGTCCAGGTTTTAGACAAGAGCTGATGTGAGGTTGGTAAAGAGCCCGTAGGGCAAAGCCAGGTAGGTATGGAAATTGCTGTGTCCTCAAGAGCACACGTGTGGGAGGGTGGCTGTGCCAGCACTGGGTGAACTGCACGGACCATGTGGGAAGGGAAAGACTCAGGTGTTCACCCAGTGGTTTCTTCAAAAATCTTTGTGACAGGAAAGTAAATGGCTTTCCCTTCTCTGCTTAGATCATCATGCTTAGGAATGACATTTACCGCTGCCGAGCGTCAGGCATCTTTCTTCGCTTGGAGGGCGGAGGCTTGATCGCCGGCAACAACATTTACCACAATGCGGAGGCTGGTGTAGACATCCGGAAAAAGTCCAACCCACTCATACTGGTATTTTTCTCTGCCTTCATTCCCTGTTCACGGTGGCTCTCAGTTTTGGGGAACCTTTTCTGAGGATATTTCAATAAATGTTGCCATCTTGAATTTATATGCTTCCTGTTTGCAAGTGGTTCCTGCTCTTTTTTCTGTGTCCTTGTGGCTCTTGTGTCTCTCTTTCTCCATGTATTGGTAGTGACTTTGGACAGGTTGTTTCCCATCAGTCTCCCCATGGATAAGGAAGAGGACCAGATAGACAGGGAAATTTCACAGGGCCCTGCCTTAGCCCTGATATGCTGTGGTCGACTCTGAGCTTGGGAAGAATAAAGATGCAAAGTCTGCCCTAAAAGACACATATCTAAAAACAAAAAACTACAACAACAAAAACCTGCCAAGTTCATTCTTTTCTATGAAAAGAACATTTAGAATATTTAGTTCTGAAGATAATTTGTTTCATGGACATTATGAGGGCATATTAAGTTTGATTTTTATGCCAGAGTGAAAACCTCTTAAAATCCTAGAATATGAGACCAGTGATAGCAGAAACTAGTCCTTTTCCACTCTAGGTTTTCCTGAGAGACAGATTTTGCAGAAATTGGGAAATGTGATAGACTTTTTTATGGGCTTTGAAAAATAATATAGCCACTTTATGCTTAATTCTTAATATATGCCA